TTGATGTTCAATTCCCTGTTGGCTATTTTTGTTCTAGTCTTTCTCAAGATCAATTCCTTTAGAAGTGGAAACAGAACCAAAATAAGAGTTTGAAAGTTCTACATTTTGCTGTTAATTATCCTCATATCATATACCCTGAATAGTGGTCACATCTCTTCTTTTAATTTCTTCCTGCTTTTGCCATAGCTAAAACATCTTTTTTGTTGTCCTTAGTACTTATTGCCAGCATTGGCTAATCAGGGGAAGAGGAGGAAATAAGTGTTTATTGAGAGCTTATTTTGTGCAAGACACTGTGCTAAATACTTTTATAAATCTCATTTGATCCTCATAACAATCCTGCAAGATAGATGTTTTCATTATCCCCATTTTACAGTTGAAGAAATTGAGGCAGAGGGGCAGCTAGGTGGCGCAGTGGATAGAGCACCGGCCCTGAGGTCAGGAGTACCTGAGTTCAAATCCAGCCTCAGACCAAACACTTGACTAGCTGTGTGACTCTGGGCAAGTCACTTAACCCCAACTGCCTTTAAAAATAAGAAAGAAAGAAATTGAGGCAGAGAGATTAAGTGACTTGCCTAGGGTCACACAGCTGGTAACTGTATAAGGTCATATTTAAGTCTTCTTGACTCTAGGCCCACCTGTCTAGCAGACACTATAATTCTAGCTTTTAGCTTTCCTAACAGTCTTCTTATACTTCCCATTCAATAATCACTAGAGGCCTATCATTTATAACTTTTCAAAAATTCTATTCAGGTTCTTAACTTCATTATTGTTTATTTTTTGGCTAGATTTGTCTAGATCTTAAAGAAGTCTTTGACTATTTTTTTTTACTCTTTATTTTTTCCTGTAACATATTTAACTTTTCTATTAAGTATTTAGATGCTATGCCATTTGCTGCATATATCTTAAATATTGAAATTGATTATGTATGTTACTTTTAAGTATAATGTGACTTCCCTTGTTTGTCTCTTTTAATCAAGTTTATTTTTGTTGTTACCTTCTTTGAGATTATTGCTAACCCTGCCTTTTTTCTTCCACTGATGCATAATAGGTTTTTCTCCAGACCTTCATTTATCTCTGTGTGAATCTTAATATTTCGAATGTATTTCTTATAAACAACACATTTTCTTGCTCCTCCATTCTGCTAAGCTCTTCCATCTTATGGGTGAGTTTCTCCCATTCACAGTCATAGTTATCATTATCACAATCATTAATTACATATTTCCCTCCCTCTTATTCTCTTATACTTTGTTCTTTCTTTGCTTCCCTCCCTGTCTTTATAAAGAAGAGACTGGTGAGAATGACTGTGTTCAGTACCTTTTCTCCATGCTTTATGCAAACTGCTTCTGCTTTCCTGCCTCTCACTTCTTTCCCTCATCCAAAGCCCAATCATAGGTTCTTTCCTTTCTTTCTTTCTTTTTCAACCCCATTTTACAATCTACCCTCTTTGCTTAAACTTTCTTTTGCTTATTGCTTACCCCTTCCTAAATCTAATCTCCTTCTTAACTTCTCCCCATCTCCTCTCCATCCCCTACTATTTTCAAGTTGCACCCAATTCTGTGTATATCCTACCCTTCTTTGACCAGTTCAGATGAAAATGAAGTTCCAGTGTTATCCACTTCTTTCACTCCTTTCTTCTTTTTTGCATAGTCTTACACTTGTACACCTAATTATGTGATAGAACTTCTCTCATTCTTCTTCCACTTTTTTTCTTTAGTGTATTCCTTGCCTCCTTCCTTCCCTCAAGATCATTAAAATATACCAAAACCATTCCCTGGCCCTCTGTCTTATTAGACTCTCTCTATGACCCCTAAGGTTTTGAGGGGACTCATACTGTTGCCTTCCATGAAAACACAAACAGTGCATCCTTGTTTAGTTCTTTTTGAATGCTCAACCATATTGCCTATTTTATATTTCTTGTATTTTTTGTTTGCATTTGTATTTGTATTTCAAAATTTCTACTTAGCTCTGGTCTTTTCATCAGGAATACTTAAAAGTCTGCTATTTCATTAAAGATTCTTTTTTTCCACCATAGGATTATATTCACTTTGGCTGGGTAAGTTATTATTGGTTGTAAGCCTATACATCTTTTGAGGTTTTGGAATATTACATTCCAAGTTCTCCACTCCTTTAGCATGGTGGCTGTTGAATCTTGTGTGAGCCTGACTGTGGCTGTTTGGTACTCACATGCTTTTTTTTCTGGCTGCTTGTGGTATTTTTCCTTTGATCTGGAAGCTCTGGGTTTTGGCTATGATGTTCCTGAGAGTTTTTATTTGAGGATTTCTCCAGGAGATGACCTGTGAATTCTTTCTATTTTCAATTTTCTCTCTGATTTTAAGAAGTGGTTTTCCTTTATGATTTCTAGACTCTTTCTTTAATATCATGGCTTTAACACATTAAATGTTCCTTATGATTCTTAAATTATCTCTCCTTTTTCTGTTTTCTAGGTCAGTTGTTTTTATTATAAGATAACTTATATTTTCTTCTATATTTTCTAATCTTTTGGCTGTTTTAAGGTTACTAGTTGTCTCATAGAGTCATTCATTTCTGTTTTGTTTTGGTTGTGTTTGGTTATGGTTTTGTACCTCTTCTGCTAAGCTATTAAATTAATTCTCTTTCAAAACCTTTCCTCCATGGTTCTCATTTCTTTTCCAGTTTTCTTCTCTAGTCCACTCTTTAATGTATAAAATCATTTTAAAACTTTTATTTCATTTCCTCCAGAAATTCTAGTGGACTTGTGTACAAGCTGTGTTTCACTTTGAGTTCTTGCTTATATGTGGCTTAAAGTAATTCTCCTGCACTCTTGTCAACAATAGCTTTTTATGGTGAGATTCTTTTTAGTTTACTCATTCTCCAAAACTTTCTGAATTAGGACTCTAGATGGACTTGGGCCTTGCTTGGTCCCACTTTGAATTCTCTTAGGTCCTCAATCTGCTTTCTCTAGAACTTGAATGCTAGCATTCCTCAGTGATCTCAGGGCTGCAGAACTATAGGCTCTCCCTTTTTCTGAGCTAGCTCTCCTGTTTTTTGGTTTGTTTGTTTGTTTGTTTTTCCAGCTAGAGGCTTCAGGTCAGGGTGAGGACTAGCACAGAAACCTCACTCCAGGGTCAGAGCCACACAGAGGTTGTTTGCTTCTCTTACTGCCCTCTTTGTCTAGCACACAGCCTCAGGCCCACAACTGCTCCTTGCTCTGGTCCACCACTCCTAGATGAAGGTTCCCCCTCAGTCCACACTAGATATGAGACCTAGCTCTAGGGTATGAGTAACAGGTGTCAGTTGGCACCCATTCCTGCTCCTTGGCCATTGTCAGAGCCTTCCAAGCTTAATTCTCTTCTTGCCTAGTTCACAGCTTCAGGACCCAATTCAGTCCTCTTGTTAGAAGGTCTGGTGTGGTACCCTCTTGGCTTGGACCCCAACCACAGCACCCAAAAACCTCTGCCTCCCTATGTGGAGCTGAACTAGAAAAATGATCCACTGTGATTTTTCCTTGGATTTCCCAATCAGGACTTAGTCTGGTGCTTCTCTAAGTCTTTGTTTTAGTAGTTGTAGGAAAACAAGGAGGGAGGTGGGCTATACTTCTTGGCTGTTCTGTACTATGAAACATTTAATGAAACTTAAGATTGTATTAGATTTTTATTACCACATCACAGTGTAGATTTATATTGTGATATATACTGTGCTTTCAATTCACTAAAATTCCTAGATCGTTTTTTTCAGTTGAACTACCATCTTGCTATCCCTTCTACCACATCTGTGTTTATGAAGCTGATTTTTTTAACCCCAATTTAAGACCTTGCATTTATTTCTATCAAGGTCACCTTACTATATTCAGCCTGATGTTCCAGCCTGTCTAGGTGTTTTTGAGTCTCAACTCTGTCATCTGAAGTGTTAGCTACCCAGGTTCCCAGCTTTGTGTCTGGCACACAGTTGCCACTTAATAAATACTTGACCTTCTTATTCAATAAGCAGAAGATATATTATGCCATTATCCAAGTCATTGATTACAAATGTAAGGAGGAACTGAGTTCAAATCCGGCCCCCGACACGTAACACTTACTAGCTATGTGACCCTGGGCAAGTCACTTAACCCCATTGCCTCACCAAAAAAAAAAAAAGTACAGGACCAAATACATAAACCTGGCACTCTTCACTAATTATGTTTTTCCATGTTGATGTTGTCATTAATGACTGCTCTTTGGGTACAGTCATTCAGCCAATCAATAATCAACTTAGACTTTTGTCTAGTCCTCACCCCTCCATCTTGTCCACAAGTAGAGCTTATAAGACTTTTTCAAATATTTTTAAATTTTGATAATATGAGCCAATGAAACCTGGTTTGAATGGTTAACTCCATCCTCCAGGCTTAATTGATCATGAGACCTCTCCACTGTCCCAGGAACTTTATTATGTTATGGCATAGCCAGTAAGTTTCCAGCCAGTAAGTTTCCTGGCTTCCTGCCCCTCATTCTTCATTAGACAATTCATAAAATACCTTTAATTCACTGCCCTAGGCTTGACTCACTGGTGACAGAATAGTCTCCTATTAGTGCTACGTCAGCTCTCAGTCCAGAAATTCTGTATTTAAGTTTGAGCCCCGGGTCACTTTGAGCCTTCTATTAGAGTGGGCATCCTGCTGCATGTCTGAGCCATCAGTTATGTTTCCTGCAGAACTAGGGGCAATGGAGGTCCTATATCTTTGCTGTTTCCCTTTGGCATCTGTTCTCCCATAAATGCCATTCTCATTTGGTAGTGTCTCTTCATGAACAGCTCCTGCTTTTTTGCACTGCAGATGAATGCTATATCTAGGACTGTTTTTACTTTCTCCAGAAACTACTACAGTTTTCTCTAAATGGCTAATTTTCCATTTTACCATAACATTTAACACATTATGGATAAACGAATATACTATATTTTAATATCTGAATGTTTTCATAGCATGTTTATTGGTACTATTATATTATCCTACCAACATTTTGAAAATAATATCTGATTCAATTTCTTACCTTCTCCTGGTATTGAAAGTTTAGCTGCTGGTGATGCTACTCTCTTTAAAACAGCGGGACTCTCTGAAGAATTTGAATCCATACTTAAGAAGAGAAAAATAGAGAGATACTTTAATTTCCAGTGTTAGCAAAACCATGCATACAAATGAAACCTTTAAATATATACCACTTAAAACCTGGAAAAACATGGATTAAAATGAAAGTCAAATTTAACTGCAAATAATGACACAAAAGAGAGGCAGCATGACATACTTAACTGGACAGTGAGCTGGCCCCAGAGTAAGGAAAACCTGGGTTCAAATCCTATCTTTGATACATAAGAATGATGTGACCTTGACCTAGTCACTTAATTTTTCAGTGTCTCAGGCAACTCTCTAAGACTATAAGTTGAAAAGTGTTGCTGAGCTGAGCTGGTAGAGGGAGTTTTCTATCCAGGGAGGCCCTTAACCCTGATGAAACCATCCTGCTCAACAACCTCCCCATCTCCAACCCCAATCCCATATGATGTGCATATGTACAATGATTAGTTCCCATTTTAGTTTTTCGTAATATATTATTTTGGACATTTGGATATTTTTAGTATGTTCACCATAACATAGTCTAATCTATTTTGAAATTTGAAAAAGCTAACAAAAGCTAATTTCATAGATTCTGTTTTTAAAATTTTCAGTGTATTAAAACTAAAATTTTACATCTAAAAAAACTCAATGTACGCTGCCTTTTTCCAATCATGATAGCTTCATCTCAATTTGAAAAAATCAAAAGCCTTGTTTGGATTCTGTGTTACATAAATATTCCTTAGAGATAGAGAAAATACTCTCCCAACTGTAATCTACCAAAATAAAATTTAATTATCATGATCAATGAAATTATTTTTGCATAGTCTGTACTAGGTATTCTACAAAGAAAGATGAACAGACATAGTCATATCTTGCCCTCATGCCTTGAAGTAGACTTTCTTCACTTTAAATTCCAGAGAAATAAGATTTTCTAAATGCTATGACGGAGGAAATAGCCACCAAATTGTAGGAACATTTTATTGTCCCTCAAAATATCTAAAAAGGTGTTAGGGGCCATGACATCACAGACTATAAAGTAGGAGGGGGCTTTACCAATGACTGCATCCAACCCTTCTCATTTTACAGATACAGGAAAGTGAAGCCAAGAGAGGTTAAGTGATTTGCTAAAAATGAAGCATCTAATAAACATCAGAGCTAGAAGGGAGAACCCAGGGTCCTTTAGAGTCCAAACCCAGTGCTCTTCTGTTTCACCATGGTTCCTCTCTTTCCAAAGTACAACTTTTTTTTCTTCAGATAAAAGCAGATAAACATCAGAAATACCTTGTTGATTTTCTTATGGGTCCTGAAATGAGCTTCACATAAGACTTGGGGAACCAACCCTTTTGACCTTGAACTTCTCCAAACCACCACATATCTTGCTGTTCCAGGACTGTGATGACATCATTTTTGTTGAAATTTAAATGGTTGTCCTTTTTGGCCCTCCACGGGTACAAGGCTTGTGCTTGTAGCCCCTCTACCTTTTCACCCTTATATGGAACAATATAAAGGGGTTTTTGGTTACATAGTAGTTTGTTACAAACAAACAAAAAAAAGAGAGTAATGTATGACAAACATACTTTTCATTAGGATCATAGATATTAATATATATACATACATAGTTTAGCTTAAATGGTAATCAGAAACTAAGTATGCGAAGGCTTGACTACTTTTTTTTTTGTTGTTGTTTGTTTTCTGAGAAATTTTGCTTGTGATAACTCATTGTTCCTTAAATGGGAATTTTATTGAAATAAAGATATCATGAGAAATGGTGACCAAATACAAGCTTTGATTTTCTTTCCACTGCCTACAAATATGCCCAAGTTACCTCCATCTTTAATAATAAACCTTCATTTAACCACGCCCCCCCCCATCCCCTGCAACTATCATCCTATGTCTCCTCCCTTTCTCAAATTCCAAGAAAAGGCAATCAGCCTCCCCTCTTTTTTCTTGATCCTTCCTCCCTTAGCATTCTGGATTTCAACTTCCACATTAAGCCTTACCTGATATCCCCAAGTGCTAGTGCCTTCCTCATCCCTTTCACCCACAATTACTTTGTATTTATTTTGTACATATGTATGGAGGCTCCTTGAGGGCAGTGTAGATCTCCTACACCTAGCACAGTGCCTGGTACTTAGGAAATGCCTAATAAATGCTTGTGAACTGAACAATGAAAGAAATTAGAGATGCTTGTTATGATGACTATTGTATAAAACCACCAAAATGTTTCAATGTATCAGTGGAAAACTGACGATATCTTCAAAGGAGGGAAGCAAATGACAATCCAGAATGGTGAATGATTTAAAAATAATTTATATTTGCCTTTGGAAAATATTCTTGCACTTGTACACAAATAAGGGTGAGACAGTTCATGAATTCACAACCCATTAAATAAAAATTATGAAACTCAAGTTAACTCCAGTCTCAACACAGATGAAGCCTGATAGTGCCTAGACCTCCTCAACTTACCTTTACTGGACTTTAGTCACACTGGAGTAGGCATATCCTGGCCCTTTAGAGGTAAAACTGTTTCAAATCCAAGACTTTCCCCTTTCTGACCACAACTTCCTTACCTTCCACTTCTCTTCATCATTCTTGTTCAGCTGCCTCTCCAGCTTCTTCACAATCTATAATTCTTCCTCCTCTCCCTACTCCAACCTCCCTTCCCTTCTCCTGAAGTTTGGTCTATTATCTTTTACTTCCTTATGGGAGCCAAGCTAGGTTATTAGTCGTTTCAATCATGCTGACCTTTCTGTACACTATACCTGACGCAGTGTATAAAGGGCCCTTTAAAAGAAAGCAAATGTACACAGCTCCTACTAGACTGTAATTTCTTTTAGGTTCTTGAGGTGCATGAATACATTTCAGGAGGTTGATGAACTTGGATGGGGGAAAAAATTTCATCTTTACTTTCACTAACCTCTAACAAACTTAGTATTTACTTCAATTATGAATGTAGAGAATAAGCATTACGCTGAGAAGGGGCCCATAGGTTTTACTAGACTATAAAAAAAAAAAAGATAAGAACCCTGGCTTTAATGGGAGGGAGCAGACCTTACACATTGTGTAGCACACTACCTAACATCTTGCGTAGTGCTTAAAAAATGTATGTTGAGTTGAAATTTTGTTGTCAAATTATCAACATCTTGTTTAGCCATTTCTTGGAATTTGCTCTATTGACTAAGATCTACTATCCCTTCAATCTCTTGCATCCTCCATCTCTTACTCCACTATTTCCTTCCCCTCTGCCTACAGACACATTTAGTTCTCTATTCTAATAAAAACAGAAAATAGCAACCCTCCAAAACCCCTCCCTCGACCTTTCTACCCCCTTGAAGCTAACACTTCTTCCTTTGCTTCCTTTCGCCAACTAAACTTCTAGAAAAATTACCCTGTGTTTGCTGATTGTCTTCACTTCCTCACCACTCACTCACTCTAAATCTCTTGTAATTTGGCTTCTGAATCTACCACCACTTAAATAAATCTCCCTTCTTAAAAGTCAACAATGACCCCATAATTATGAAGTTCCATTTTTTTTTACTCAGGTCTCATTCTTAAACTTTGTAGCAGGTGACCGTAGTCTAATCACTCCATCCTAAAAGCAGAATGTGGCTCCTGTGGTATTGTAATAGCTAATTTCTCCTCTAGCCTCTACCTCACATGGTAGTTATGAGGATCAAATGAGCTAACAAATGTAAAACATTTTGTAAACTTCAAAGCATTTTACAAATGTTATCATTATTACCACCACTGCCATCTATATACCCAACACCAAAACCAGGACAAAGTATTTGCAAATCATCAAAGAATCTTGAAAAATCACACCTCTCAGCACTTTGACCATCATGCTTCCTATCTGTTACTCTCTACCCAAGAATTTTCACTCATAACACATGTAACTTGACATCACACAATTTCCATATGCCAGAAAGGACAAAATTTGCTAGCATAAAATTCTATTCTAATAGGAACAATAAAGAACAATAATAACAATAGCTCAAACTTATATAGCAGTTTAAGGTTTGCAAAGCACTTTACATGCTTTTTTTTATTTGATCCTCACAAACAACCCTGTGAAGTATTATTATGTACTATTATTATCCCCATGTTATAGATGAGAAAGGATGAAACCTGAGAGAAGTTAAGCGACTTGCCCAGGATCATACAGCTAGTATAGTTAATTTTTATTTTAAAAAAACTTATAAAAATATTAAAATATGTTCTTTGTTGTTCTCATATATCACATCTAGATGGCTGCCAACTTAACTTATCCTTAGTACTAGCTCAGCTTATTATACATCTAAATTGGATGACTGGCTACCCCTTGTGCTTTTTTTTACCTTTGTAACTTAATTCCATGATACCTGGAAGATGCTGCTTCCCCATCCCCAGCTTTGAGCTATGATTAAGTCATCCCTTCAAGGAACAGCTCAAATTCTATCTCCTTTTATGACACATTGCTTGAATATATCAGCTAAAGTAATGTCTTCCTCCTCTACACTCTTCTGGTATTTGATTTATGCCTCTCTTATGATACATATTACTTATGTCTTAGATTCCAGTTAATTATGTAGATCTCATTTCCTCTCCTAGTCTGTAAGCTCCTGGAAGACAGCTAGTCTGTCTAATCAACCTTTTTTAATTCTCCACCCTGCCTACCATAGTGCCTTGTGCACAGCTGCCACTCAACACGTTTATATTAAACAGACACCCTGTAGAAGTTTGACTTTTCAGTCTTCCCCTTTTTGCTTTCATATTCCCCAATATATGCTGTGAAATACATCACCCTCCCACAGGGTGCAAAGAATTAGTCCTAAGAAGAGCTGAGCCCTCTTTTCAAATCTGCTGGCTCATCTCTTTTTTTTGGCAGGAAATTAGCTTTTCTGCAGATTCAGCATTAGTCCTATGTTGAAAAGTACATAGACAGCAAGGACTACATTTTTTCATGTAGCAGAAGCTTCAGATGAAAAACTACTGACATACACAAACAAAATAAGGTCTCCACCATATAGATTTCTTAAATTTCTAATTGGGATCATCTATACTATATCCTGAGTTACATATTAGGTAGGTTCATCACCTACCTAATAACACCAATAAATATTTGTTGAAGAGGTTTGTATTTTACAGAATGTAGTCATTCACACCTAGGCATATTGCTATTTACCTGGCCCAAAACAGGAGATGGTGATGAGCCAGTAACAGTAGCTGGGGTAAAGGCTGATCTTTGCCTCAACTGCCCTGCGCTTGGAACAGTAAGCGAAGGCTGGGTTGCCCATGCATCCCAATTATCTGTTTCTGGTTTCTCATTAGTGTTTGTTGGCCATCTGGAAAAGAAAAAGAAATACTACTCTAAACAATTAATATATGCTAATAGATCATTTTTTCATTATGGACCCCAGGTCACTTGGCCATAGTAGCCGAAGCCACATATGAATGAACAAATCACTTTGAGAACCAAAGGGGCCTGCCACTCCTCTGTATCATGCACTGGTCCAAGTTAGCACTACTGCCTCCTAGTGGTGCAAGGCAGGCAACTACTGCTTTATAAGCTACTGAAGTAAATGGGGTCACAGGAATGTGCTATTCATCTATATGGGAAATTTGATGGGAACTATAGCAAAATTAAATCCATAGGATAGCAAGGAACTTTATATAACAGGGTGTATTTGTTTTGCTTTTTTTTTTCAGTCTTCCAGGTTAATTAAGGCTTTAGTTAATTAAGCCAAAATTATTGACTAAATTAAAATTAATATAAAATTACAATATATTTATATATGTATATTTATTTAAATAAATTTATATATATACAATATAAAATTAAATATAAATTTTAAATTGACTAAAAATTAAAATAAAAACTAAAGCCAAAAATACATTATCTGTATGTGTATATGTACACACGCACATATATGTGTGTGTATATATATGTGTGTATGTATGTATGTATGTATGTATGTATGTATGTATGTATGTATGTATCTAGCATGTAATGGATGGGTTCCCTTTTTTAATACTGTAAGGATTTTTACATGAAAAAAATTACCATGTAAAATTTTCCCTGCCTTATAGTATTCTTTCCAACCCATGTCCTTCACATGGTTCTTCTCTCTTCCTTATAATTTCCATCTATTGTCTAACACAGGGGTGAGGAACCTGTGGCCTTGAGGCCACACGTGGCCCTCTAGGTCCTCAAGTGTGGCCCTTTAACTGAATCCAAATCCAAAACAAATTTGTTCTGTGACGTCTGGATTCAATCAAAGGGCCGCACTTGAAGACCTAGAGGACCACATGTGGCCACAAGGCTGCAGGTTCCCCACCCCTGCATCTGGTCTTCTCTCTTGATTTCTTTGCTTTCTTTTTTCTTTTTTTTTAAGGTCACACATTTCAAAAAAATACAACTCCAAACAAGGAATACATGACAACAGACACCTTTTCATTATGGACCTTAGGTCACCTGGCCATAGTAACTGAATCATCTCATTGATGATTTTTTTCACCCAAGTAGTATTTTTTAACCAACCTAAGAATCTGAACTGTGGGACTGTAATAAGGGCTCACGATTTCATAAAGTGGATCATTACAAAACAAAATCACTGTATAAATACTATGCTTGAAGGCTAACTCTTCACAATCAAGAACTGAGAATTAGCCTAATTTGATGGTACCATTATTCTATTCCACTGTACACTTGCAGAAGCAAAGAAGCTTAGAGGAACTTAGGGGAAACAGCTTTGTCTCTTCTTCCAACCACAAGTGGGAATTTCATTTTTGCATCTATATCAGCAAATAGTGCTACTTCGATACAGGAAATGACTAGGAATAATTGCTGACTGGCTTCAATGTTAAAAGAGATCATCAAGAGCAAAGGTACTAACTAGTCATTAAAATAAACAGATTATTGATACTTAACTTTCACTTACACAGAGGTGACCACACTTTGTTGTCACCTAATAGATGTTGATATGTCACCCACAATTTGTCTGCTCTTCAGGTCAGGAGCTGTGTCATTTTTCATCTTTGTTTTCCTAGGATCTAGCCTAGTGCTTTCACATAGGAGTCAATAAATGGTAAATGTTTACTGAATTGAAAGCATCCCACGACATTGCGGATGAAAGCAATCTAGTGAGCTCTGTTTTTGAGAGGGTCTAAGTAGGAGGGTATGAAATGGTTGGAAAATCCTGATACTTTATTAGGATCTCAACTAAAATCAACAAGAATGCCACACCTACGTGGAGCTGAAGTCTGCCCAGTTGTTGGAGGCCGTAGAAGATTCTGAAGAGGTTGTTGCTGAAGGAGTTGGGGTTTCATGTAAGGCAAGTTTAGGTGTGGGCGTGGGGGCAGAGTCAGCTCCTGGTTTCAGAGGGGTGGGGATCTCATTCTCTGGGATTTTCTCTGCATAGTTTGCAGGAAACCATCCTGTCTTTCCTTTTAATTCCCCTCCAAGCCACCCAGGTTCTCCAGTTTGCCTTTCATCCACCTGTAAGAAAGCCATAGACAGAGTAACATTGAGAATAAATAGAGAAATATTCCAAAAGCAACAAAATCCTTCGTCTGTCTCTTCCTTACTCCCCTCATTCCCCTCCTCTACAAAATCCAATAAATGGAACAGAAGCCGCTTCATTTTGCTCTGGTTATAAGGGTTTGCCAAAATGCATTGAAAATATTTAACTTTGAAAAGAAGTGTAATAACTCAAGAGTTCTTCGTTTAAAGTGTTTTTTGGCCCACAACATTTTATTTTATAAAAGAGAGTAGAAATAGTATGGTGCTGTGAAAAGGATAGATGGACTCAGGGTGAAATTAGGCAAGTAACTTGACCTCTCTAAGTTTCAGTTTCCTCATCTGTAAAACTGGGAAAGAGGAAAGGGTTGGGTTAGATGACTTCTGAGATCTATTCTGCCTCTAAATCTGTAATCCTAAATCACACAGAATTTGAATTCTAAGTATTACTCATTTTTGAAGTTGTTTCTGAAAAATCCACTTTCAGGACTTATCATTAAAAAAGCTCCTAAGAATTCTCAAGATTAAAATACTTTTTCCTTCATTCTAATTATTAAAACATTATTATAACAAATTTATACAGTAAGAATTTCAATTTAGGGTACATTTAGTACATTTTCTTGCAAAATATAAAAGAAAAATACCATCTTGATTAGCACAGGGAGAAGGGTTTGTTTAGAAATCACTATGGTTAGACAGAAGGAAGGCTAATCACTTATTTTAGATATAAAACCTATAATAAGGCAGAAATGAGGAATGGTTTTATTACAATAAGTTTAAATTTCACCAACACCTTAATTTTTTTCTTAGCACAGCACTGACTAAAGCAAAGTAAAATATAATGGCACAATTTAAAGCAGATATTTGAATTTGAAAACTTGATTTATTTTCTGTTATTTAAGGTATCACAAAAGTCATTTACTACAATGGAACAAGGTTAGGTTTTTTAGCATTTCAATTTTTTAATAATATATGTTAGTCAATCAAAATTCTATTTTTCTTCTTTCTTTTATGCTCCTACAGTTAAGGCATTGGTAAAGGTCATAATTAGCACTGTTTTTTCACATGAATCCTGACTTTATAAATCACAAACATGCAAAAAGGATCAGGACAAGTTTGTTACACACTAATAAAAGGGAAAATAAAATGATTTCAAAATTTAACAATTATGAGGGAAAATGTTATCTAGCACCCAAAGGCATAAAATTACTAAAACACACCAAACAATTATACTGCTCACCTTTAAAAAAAACATAATTAATGAATTCTGCACATTATTTGAAAAATAATTCAGATATCTTCCCAAAATGTTCAGTGCCCTTATTTTTTTCTTTTTTTAGTCTTTTGAAACCTTTCTCATCACACAGAAAAATCTTAATTGACATTTTTCAAGACAACAAGAAAAAGGAATGAAAAATAAAATTTCCAAACATATTTTTGCCTCCCTGAGTTTGCTGTCTTTTTCCATTGGCTCCTATTTAGCTGTTATTATCAATTTCTCTATTTCAACATTCTGTATTTCTTAAATGTTTCTTTGATCTATTTTTCCACGATAAATCTCTCCCCTTGAATTCTGTTTTGTATTTTATCACAACTTTGTTATTCTAGTCAATTCTAATGTCTCCCTAGCCTCAGACTAACCTACTTCATCAATCTTCCTTTCTCTTATGCACCCTTAATTCTTCTCTCCATAGCCACAATTATCCATTTACCAAACTTTCCTTCGATCTAGCTGCTTCCTTAAATTATTGTCCTCTTCCCATCACCAAATTTCAGGAAAAAGTAGTTGTACTCACCATCTCTATTCCCCCCACCCAATACTCAAATCTCCTCTAATCTATATTTGGTTAATTCACATCAACAAACATGTATTACACCTGCCTTATGTAAGGCATAGAGTTAAGCACAGAAATTACAAAGACAAAAACAACAGTCCCTGTCCCTGCACCTACATTTTACCAGGAGGAGATGCAATACAAACTAGACAAACAAGAATAATGCGTGATAATTTGAGAAGGGAGTAATAATAACATAGCGAGGGAAGGGAGAGACACAAAAAGGGGGAATGTGGAAAGGTTTCTTTGAAGAGGTGGTTCCTAAGCTGAATCCTGAAGGAAGACAAGAATCGTGACAGAGATGAGGGACTACATTACAGAGATGGGGATGGACCATGCAAATACAGAAAGACAGGAGATGAAGTGTTGAGTTTGGGAACAACTGAACAGTAGCATTCCTGAAGGAGAACAGTATGAAATTATGCTGGAAAGGATGCTAGGAGAGAGATATAAAAAGACTTTAAATACCAGACTAAGGAGTTTGTATTTTTTAGAAGTAATGAAGGTTTTCGAGTAAGGGAATAACATGGTCAAATCAGTGCTTCAGGAAAATTATTCTGCCAGCTCTGTCAAAGATGAAAGTGGACCACTCCTAGGTCTGTATCCCAAAGAGATCATAAAAATGGGAAAAGGAGCCACGTATACAAAAATACTCATAGCAGCTCTTTTGGTTGTGGTCAAGAATTGGAAACTGAGAGGATGCCCATCAAGTGGAGAATGGCTGAACAAGTTGTGGTATATGAACGTAATGGAATACTATTGTGCTATAAGAAATGATGAGCAGGAAAACTTCAGAAAAACCTGGAAAGACTTCTATGAACTGATGCTGAGTGAAATGAGCAGAACCAAGAGAACATTATACACAATAACAGCCACATTGTGTGATGACTGACTTTCATAGGCTTGGCTCTTCTCAGCAATGCAAGAATGTACGACAACCCCTGAAGACTCAGATGGAAAATGCTATCCACATCCAGAGAAAGAACTATGGAGTCTGAATGCATATGGTAGCATCCTATTCGCTCTCCTTTTCTTTTGATGTTTTGTTTTATTGCTTCATTTTCGTGGTCCCTCCCATCAGTTCCAATCCTTCTTTACATTATGACTAATGGGAAAATATGCTTAACATGAATGTATAAGAAGAACCTATATCAGACTGCATGCCATCTTGGGGAGGAGGAGAAAATTTAAAACTCATAATCTTATGGAAGTGAATATTGAAAACTAAAAATAAATAAATCAATTATTTTTTAAAAAAAGATGAAATTGGAGAGGGGAGAGATTGAAAATTGGCAGACAAATTAGTAAGCTAGCTATTACAATACCACAGGTGAGAGGTGATAAGAGACTGAACTAGAATGGAGACTCTTGATGGAAAAAGGGGAATAGAAGCAAGAAATATTACAGAGGTTGGAAGCATACCATTTGCTCTCCTTTTCCTTTTTGTTTTATTGCTTCATTCTTGTGGTTACTCCCATTGGTTCTAATTGTTCTTTACATTATGACTAATGGGAAAACATGCTTAATATGAATGTGTGAGTAGAGCCTATATCAAATTGCACACCGCCTTGGGGTGGGGGCGGAGAGAAGAGTGGGAGGGGGAGAAAATTTAAAACTCAAAATCTTATGGAAGTGAATGTTGAAAACTAAAAATAAATAAATTATCAAAAAAAAAAGAAGTATTACTGAGGCAGAATGAACATAATATGGTAACTGACTGGATTTGGGAGGAGAGAGAAAAGGAAGAGGATAATAACCTCAAGGTCAAAAAACCTGAGTGACCATAAAATATGGCGGAGCTCTCCAAAAAAAGCAGGGAAGAGTTTGGAGGAGTGGGTTCAGTGGAGAAGATAATAGGTTCAGTTTCATACACGTTAAATTTGAGATATCATCTAAGAAAAAATGGCTAGAAGGCAATCAGTGACATGAAACTGGACTTTAGGAGATAGATCAGAGCTAGACATAGAGATAAGGCAGTCACCTGTATATAGGTAATAACTGAACAGGTACTAGTGAGGTCAACAAGCGGAAGAGCGTCTAAAGAAGAAAGTCCAGAACTGAGTATAGCAAAGGGGACTAAGGAGAAGCATCAGTCAAGTAGGAGGACCAGGAGAGAGTAGTGCTAGGGAAGCCAAGAGTGGAGAACAATGAGGAAGAGAATATGATTAATACGTCAAAAACTACAGGGAGGTCAAGAAAGATGAAAGGTGAGAAAAGGCAAGAATGGTAAATGAGGTAAGCTCCTGGAGGAGAAGGGCATCAGCAGTAAAGGAGGAGAGAGCAGGTAAAGATACTGAGGTGTTTCAAGGTATAAAGCAAATGAGATGAAGGCCCTTTAGATGAATTTTTTGGTTTTCAGTCGTTTCAGTTGTGTCCTACTCTTCATGACCTCCGTTTGCGGTTTTCTTGGCAAAGATACTGGAATGGTTTGCCATTTTGTTCTTTGGATCATTTTACAGATGAGGAAACTGAGGCAAACAGAGTTAAGTGACTTGCCCGGGGTCACACAGTAGGTAAGTGTGAGGCCGGATTTCACCACAGGTCTACCTGACTCCAGGCCTTGCAATCTGCCACCTCGCTGCCCCTTTAGACTGATAGCTTTGATTTTTCTATTAAGAATGGCAAAGGAGAGTGAGAATGAGAAGGGGACTAGGAGAAGGAAAAGAGAAGGGTCAGAACAATTGCTAAGGGAAGCGGGAGAACAAATCAAGAAGGAATAAAAAGGCTCAATGGCTATTATTTAATACGAATTTGTAGTGGATTCAATTGGCATGGTTGCACAAATTCCTTCAGTGGTATTTAAAAATGTAGCAGTGTGAATGAAAAAGGAAGATGGTGGGTGAATCCAGGACTTCAGCTTTGCAGGAGGGATATATCTGAATTGTGCATGGGGATGAGCATATAGGAAATAGCAACAGAAAGGGTTTGGGGTTTTTTTTTCCTCCTTTGGTAAAAGTTGATCAGAATCACTGAATATTGAGGACATTTGATGTAAATTCTTTCTTCTCTACTCTTCATCTTCAAAGCCCATGATATCATTCTGAACCACTCTTTCCTCCACTGACCCCTGTGACCTATGAGGTAACTCTTCTCCTTATGGAGGCCAATCTCTCTCTACATATGCCCTTGATCTCATCACTTCTTCAGCAGGTAGCAATCTCAATCATGACCTCCTCACCATTTTCCCTACTACCTTAGTAGACCTTACCATCTCCTCAAGCTATTATCCCACATATTTCCTCTCTTTCTCAACCAAATTCCTGGGAGAAAAAAAAAACCAAAAACTACATTCACTACTTCTACTTCCTCTCCTCTCATGTACTCTTTAATCATTGCAATCTGGCTTTCATCCTCATCACTTAATGAAATTAAAGCTATTAATGATCTCTTTTTTTAAAAGATTTTTTTATTCTATACTTAATATCAAATAAATGAGCATTTCCATATATGTTGTAGAAAGGGAAAAAATAGGATTGTACATGAAACTGTGAATATTACATACAGCTTTTCTTTTTAAATAAATTTGTTTTGTACCCAGACAAAAAAAAAGATTACCAAAAAAACGCAATGAATTTGCATCTTTTTTTAAATTCACAACTTGAAAGACAAACTCAGGAACATATTTTTGTTTCCAAGACAGACAAAAATATGTTTTGGACACAGAATTAAAGGGATAAAAATACATTTAAGAAAATACAGACTTCCTGACAGCACTTACCCATTCCCCTTTAACCTCCACCAGGAAAGCAAAGATTTGAAAGTAAGGCAATATTACAATATGTTTTATGAAATCTTTTATTTTTACCAGTATATTTAAACTATGCTTATCATCATGTTTGTTGTTAAACTGAATCTAATGAAGCTGGTAGTTAAATGGCCAGTTAATTTACAGGGGAGGGGGCCAAGATTTAATGTCAGTCTGGGACTTTTTTCATGATTGAAAAAAATAAAAAATTAGAGGTAGAAACTTGAAATAGCATAAGCTGGGCAACTGTTGAACACCAAGAGGAATTATAAAGGACTATACATTCCTTATGTATATTTGGTGTGGATTTTTTTTAAAGAATGCTTTCGGGGCATTGAGGTGGCACAGAGGATAGAGGACTGACCCTGGATTCAGGAGGACCTGAGTTCAAATCCATCCTCAGACACATAACACTTACTAGCTGTGTGACCCTGGGCAAGTCACTTAACCCCCTTGGCCTAACCACAAACAAACAAACAAACAAAAAAAGAATGCTTTAAAGTACAACATAAATTAAGTTATGCTTCAGACTTTACAGATAAGAAAGTTTGCTGCTTTCCTGCTTAATTCAAGAAGTGAAGACCATTTACAAGGACTCCAACGGTAGGCCTAAGTATCCCCTAGAAAAAGAAACAGCTTTTTATCACAAATAGAACTGCACAAGGTCACAGATTTAGAGGTGGAAGGGACCCTGGGGATCATTTAGCCCCACTCCCTTCTTTTAAAGATGAGGAAATGGAGCCCAGAGAGATCAAATAACTGTCCCAATATCATGTAGGTAGTGTCAGAGAGAGAATTTGAACTCGGGTCTGCTGACTCTGCCACTATAGCACTCTGTTCTTCATATTCATCATTTCTTTCTTTTTTTTTTTTAATGCAATTGGGGTTAAGTGACTTGCTCAGGGTTACACAGCTAGTAAGTGTCAAGTGTTTGGTCTGAGGCCAGATTTAAACTCAGGTCCTCCTGACTTCAGGGCCGGTGCTCTATCCACTGAGCCACCTAGCTGCTCCATTCATCATTTCTTATGATGTATTAATATTCCATTACATTCACATATGACATTTTGTTGAGCCACTACTTAATCTATGGACAACCACTTCATTTCTAGCTCTTTGCTACAATAAAAAACTTTGCCATAAATATTTTTGTAAGTATGGGAATTTCCTTTTGTCTTTGATCTCAGGTGTTTTGCATAGCTTACAGGTATTTATAGTATATTTATAAATTGTTTTTCGGAAAGGGTGGACCAATTCGCAGATCTACCAACAGTGCATATTGGCATGCCTATCTTTCCATAGTCACTCCAACATTATTTTTGTCTTTCACTATCTCTACAACTTGATGGGTAGTAGTGTGAAGTTAAACCTCAGAATTGTTTTAATTTGAACTTTTTGTATAGTTAGTGATTTGAAGCACTCTTTCTCATAGTATCATGGATTTAGAACTGGAAAGGATGGTCAGAGGTCTCTGAGTCCAACCCCCACATTTTACAGATGAGGAAACTGAGTTTCTAAGAAGTGAAATTACTTGCCCAAGGTCACACGATAGTAAATAGCAGAGCTGCAATTTGAATCCAGGTCCTCTGATCCTCTGGGAAGCTATGCAGTACAGTGGATCGAGTGCCCAGCCTGGAGTCAGGAAGACTCATCTTTGTGAGTTCAAATCCAACCTCCGCCACTGTGTGATCCTAGGCAAGTAATTTAATCCTATTTGCCTCAGTTTCCCCATCTATAAAATGAGCTTGAGAAGGAAATCACAAACCACTCTGGTACTCTGCCAAGAAAACCCCAAATGGGGTCACAAAGAGTCAGATGTGACTGCAATGACTGAATAACAATAACAATCACTGACCCCCCAATCCTTTACTTTTACCAATCTACCACACTGCTACCCCCCTCTGTACCATGCTCCCTACCCCTTCTATTTCCTCTTTTTAAAACTGCCTATTCATTTCTTTGACTACTACTGAATGTTTCTTGCGCTCTTAAAATATTCTTATTTATTACTGAATGTTTTAAGTATTTGTATCAGTTATTAGAAGTTATTAAATATTTGTGTATATCAGAGAAGTCTCTGGCAAAGATTTCCCCCCCAATCTATTGTTCCTGCATCTAATTTTAAAGGTATTGATTTTGTTTCATGCAAAAGCTTTTCAATTTTAATTGAAATCAAAAGGATAAATCCTGCTCTGTAAGGCATGAACAATAAGAAATGTTTAGCAACTTTTACAACATTTGGATGGCTGAATATTTTCTGTTACGTCAAATGAAAAGGAACTTCACAAAAGGACTAGTTTTTAACCCATCATGATTAAATTCAAGGGTTATTCAAAAGGTTGTTTTCAAGAGGCTACGAGATATAAGAACTCCAATAAGGAAAATGCAGATTAGCATTTTAGTATCCATCTTGTTGCTCAAATAAAATCTCTTATAGTTTTAGGCTTTAGCTACTGTGTAATGGTTTTCTAATTTACTTATTAATGTGCTTTAAAAGATATCATATTTTAGATCCAAAACAACTTGAATTAACTAAGTTTGGGAAATTGTCAAACATGAAGAATCCAGAGGGGCAGGCATGGTACCTGATAAGCCTTTCACAAATGCTATCTGCTCTTGCCTTACACCCATATACACGAGAATAGCTCTACACCTGAACTTGAGGGAAGTGTAAGTGACACTGACATGGGGAAGACTGTGTTTTATTTGTTTCTTTGATTTAAGGATCTGGAACTTGTTGGGGCACTCTGATATCCCTATTATGAGACTAAATGAACTGGAAATAAAACAGCCAGAATAAAACAGAAAACAAGGGAAAGGAAATGGAAAACTGGATTTTCTGTTTTCTCACATATTCCGTAAGCATTCTTCCCCTATTTATTTCTTCCACAAAAGAACAACATAAGGTACTTATTCTTTATTGCAGATAGAGAGGCAATATGAGTATACAAACAAGTCTGCGGCTGTATGTAAATGACAGTACATAGGACTTAAATAACACCCTTCCTCCTAAGAATATAACATATTTAGGAAGATGGGTTTATTCTGAGTGTGTATATACTTTGAATACAAAAATTTGCATGCATTTTCCTTATACCTAACTTTAATATGGTGAAGGTGGGAAAGGGTGGTATTTCAAAAGGCAAATTGGACATAAAGTAAAGCTAACAGAAAAAATGCTAACTGCTTTTGTTTTGTGAACACTCCTATGGTAGTTTACAGTTTTTGGAATTGCTGGTTTTATATTCTTTAAAAAAGCATTTGGTAACACCCCATTGTTTTATTTAGTTACTTGAATTTCAAAGTCTAGTGTGCATATTTCTTCCCATCAGAACTTTATGACTGGAAATTTTAAGTTTAAAGAAACTAAAGAAGGACAGAAGAAAAATTCCAAATTGCTTTTTGGGTAATGTTTTAAGCAGGGTGCTACAATGCAAGTTAAATATACTTAACTCAACATATCTTACATAAGTCAAATTCCCAGTGGACTTTGCAGCTTCAAAAATAAGCAATGAGGAGTTTTAACCACACCTACCAAAGCTACAACTAGCAACTATGAGCATGTGCTGGAGTATTTGTATTTCATTTAAAAGGACTTCTCTGAAAACTTCTCAGAGCACAAAATTAATCCAGAAAGACTTGGGTATTACCAATTATTTAGATATTTATAGGTAGCATTTTCTACACAGGGACTCTATTTTAAAGTGACATTAAGACTAGATTTTCAGAATGTCATACTTTATTCTAGTAGGACATGGAACAGAAAAACAAAACATGCTTTTCAAATTTGAAAACTTATTATCGATCCAGTGAACCCTGGATTTAAAGAAGAATACTTTAAAGACCTGTTCATATGTACAAATGACTGTGAAGGAAACTACAAAGTAGATGATGTTATCAACAAAAACAAACTCTTCTTAAATTCTTTCTTACCATGACTATGTCCCCAGGCTGGATGGTGATTTCATCATGGCTTCTTGATTCAAAAGGGTACAGTGCCCGGTAATACACTACCTTTACGTCCTCTTGAGTAGAAATAGCAAGTGGGCCTTTTTCTGTTTATAAAGATGACGTAAAGGAGACAAAAAAACCAAAACAAAACAACTACATTCACTAATGAAAAACAACAAAAAGCAAAGGATGTAATAGTCAAAATCTTCTCTTGGATCTCCATTAATATTCCTGAAACATCAAAGCTGACTTGGGAAATGTATAAGATACATATTAAATGACAAGGTAGATCAAACTCTGCCATGAGCATTTTAGACACATTAAGCAGTTAGTTAAGTTCCAGTTTTTGCATACAAAAAAACTCCCTGCTTCCTCTTTGGGAGAAAAGAAAAAGAGGAAAAGGAAGAAGAAAAGGAAGAAGGAAATAGGAGGAAGAAAAAGAGTCAGAGGTCACCTTTTTATAGTGCTTTCAAATTTGCAAAGCACTTTCATTATCTAAATATTGACAGTGGGTTCACCTTGCCTTCAATTCCTTCCCACTAAATTTTGGTTTGGGCTTTCATACTCTGCAAACATTTTCTGCAAATGTTGAATGGAATGAAATTGTCAGGCTGTAAACAGAAACTTAATTCAGCCAAGGAGAGAATCTATTGATGGGGTGCGAAAATTTTCACATTTATAAAAAATGTGGAAATAATAAGCTTCAATGCAACACATATTTCCACTATAAAAGTACTGATATCACAAATATCAGATTATTGAGGTCAGCCATTCTCTAACTCCCTCAGGGGTAAAAGTAAGTCTACCTTGTCTGAAAACAAAAATAACTTAATGAAAAAGAACACCACCAAATTCTTTCTCTAATGATTCATTTGAACTCCCCATAGCTCAAGTGCTACAACCCACATTCATCTTTCTTACATTTCTTTGGTAGGTAGAAGATGGTATTAATTTCTACTGGGTTTGGTACTGTGTTACACATTTAGGAGCATTTTCTTGTTACACAAAGGCAAATTTTTACAACTAAAGAAACAAGGGCACAACAAAGTTAAGTGGTTTCTTGTCCCCCAGGAAACTGAATGATAACAATGATAAAAATCAAAATTCTTTACAAATGACAAAGGGAAAACATGATTTTTTTTCAAGGGCAAGTAACAAATTGAAAACTACACAAGGTTATACCATCTCTTAAAAAAATTCTTCAGATGATACAGAGGCTCAGTCCAATCTTATACAACTGATAAGTCCTTACCAAGGCTATTTCAATTTAATTCTCAATTACTATTTCAATTTAACCAACCTTTATAAAACAACTGATATTGAGGGCACAGTGCCACTAACCATTGTTTATTTCTTAAAGGATGGGTCTTTCTTTTGCCTTTCTTTTCAAAAAATCTCTCCTGCCCCCCCCCAATGCCACCTCCAAATTAGTAAGATTCTACGAAGGCCAAAGAAGCCAGCAGACTTTTCAAATGGTGCAGCCCATAAATCATTTTGAGACCAGATGTACTGAATGTCACAAATTTTATGTGTATGGAAAAAAATTGCATTTCCTGCTGCTGAAAGAGTTGTACAATTCCTAGAGAAAGTTATATCCTGAAACAGCAGCAGAACATTAAGATGCTTCATAGAAAACAGAGACAAAGTGAGGGGTGATTGGTGTGATAATGTTTCCTACCACTTTTGTTAACCCCTTTTCATAGCTAGAGCTGTTTGACACTTTACAGACGTGGGAAAAGGGTTTGTGTGTCGTTTCAATTTGCTTAACTATACTTGCTTTTTTAAGAGGGAAGGTACTATGTAGTAGAGTGGGTATTGGGAAATGACAGTGACTTTTTTTCCCAAAAGAAACCATAAAGCATTTTTTTTAAAAGAAATAGTTTGAGCCTATTAAGATAATGACTTTAAGTGAGAAGATGATGACATGCACTTACCTATTCCAAATTACAGCCTTTCAGTTATAGCAGTTGTGTGGCTCAATGAAAAGATTAAAGCTTTTTTCTGTATGTGTACCAGATAAGAGTCTGATTATGATTAATGAAATAATCCTTACTGGGTCAAGAAAGGGTATACTTTTCTGAAACTATTTCATCTACACTCTTTCCTCCCATACCTGTAGATGAGCTGGGTGTCTGAAGAGTGGGCTTAGCTGGTTCCTGGTGTTGTTGAAAAAGCTTATTCAGCTTATCTTTCATTTCCTGTTTGCCTTTTTCCTCACCATCTTTTTTCTTGACCGGTTCTTCCCTTAGCTTCTCTTCATCATGGAGTTTTTTTGGCCGTTGATAGTCTTCATCCTGTTGAACTCGGTCAAGCCACTGCTTATCTTGTGAACGTCTGCCAATAATTATTTTTTAAAATCAGAAATTAAATGAGCCTCACTTAATAAGAGGTAGTGTGGGGACTGACAAAATTCTGGATTTGGTATCAAAGGAGAGAACTCAGCTCCAATACTACCTCTGACATTTAACATGAGCAAAAATTTATCTTAATTTCTTTGAGCCTCAGTTTCTTCCTCAAAAAAAAATGGAATCAAACCAACAGTACCTACCTCAGAGATCAAATGAGATGACATAATGGGTTTTATAAACCTTAAAGTACAATATAAGTTATAGCTATTATTATTACTGATAGTTCTCAAATTAAAGCTTGGCCAATGGCACATTCAATAACAACAAGATTTCGATTTATTAGTTTGTTTGTTTGTTTGTTTAATCTGATTTTTGGTGAGGCAGTTGGGGTTAAGTAACTTGCTCAGGGTCACACAGCTAGTAAGCGTCAAGTGTCTGAGGCCAAATTTGAACTCAGGTCCTCCTGACTCCAAAGCCAAAGATACAACCACTGTACCACCTAGCTGGCCCCAATAAGTTATTTCTTGAGAAATACAAAGGCACAGATACAAGGCCTTTGGATTATATTTCTACTGACATTGTTTTATATTCCCCTGGAGCACCTGATAATTAGAGAACTTGTCCAATTTCCTTATTTTTTACAAATAAGGACAAACCAACTAACCTAGAGAGGCATTCTAATGACTGAGAGAAAAATATATTTCACAATGTGGTATTTAATTGTAAAATTTGTATGCACATAATTTTTGTAATTTTTATTACAAATATAATTATAAATATAATTTTGCTTTAACAAGTCAATGAGCAGACAACTGAATTTTTCACTCAGGCAAACACATGTCTTCAGGGGTCTTGAACTGCATCTATAAACACACACACACACACACACACACACACACACACACACACACACACCAGTCTGAGCAACAAAACCAAATCAGCAAGATGTTTATTTTGAAAACTATCAGTTGGTTACCAGATGCTATTAACTAGTAGTTTTATTGAATTTGATTAGCATTTTCTTTTCCAACTGACTTACATATACAAAGTATCCTCACTCAGTTAACTTCGGGGAGTAGAAAATCAAGATGGTTACTGAAACTTAGATCTGAACTTATTTTTCTCCCACATCATAAATTTCTTACTGTGTGAGAAAACTACCATATGTGTGCAATAAAAAGAAAACCGTTCCATAACTTATTCCCTAAACGATTAAACATACTCTAGTCCCTCTATAGCTTCTCCCTTAGCATTTACTATACTTGAATTGCTGAAAAAAAATTACCATAAGGAGAACCAAAATATAATAGCCTAATTCTGAATATGTTTGAAAAGTAGCAAATTTAAATTGTGGTATTAACCTACAAAATGGCATAATTTCCAATCTATTACATAATTTATTTTAATTGCCCTCATTGGAATTTAGTAAATAATGAGCATGGTATACAATACGTGGCCTTGTAATAATACATATTATGGTCTTTATGCACTGGTTCCCTTTGTTAACTTCTCACCTCAAATATAACTTGCAGGAGAGAAAGCTTAACCCTTTCTATACTAAGTACAGTATATAAATGGAATTAAAGAACTCAATAATATATGAAATCTTTTTTCAAAGTAAATTTTTTTTAAGTTTTTAAGTTAAGTGTAGGAACTTTTTAAGTGTAAAACTTCATTTGTATGATAGGTAAAAGAAAAATGAAGAACTAGGCAATATATCAATCAACCAAAGAGGTTAAAAACCTTCTTTGGGCCAAGCTCTGGGGACAAAAAGACAAAAATTAAACACCATCTGCTCTCAAGAAGATGACACGTATATCAACTGGCACATATAAATACAAGAGGAATTTGGGGGGGGGCTGGGGGTGGAGGGCCCTAATAGCTGAAAGGAATCAAGACACATTTCACATAAAAAGTGGCATGGAGTTGTGCTTTGAAGGAAACAAGGCATTCTAACAGATGGAGGTGAGGAGAGAGGGCATTCCAGGCATTCAGGACACCTGGTGCAAAGACTAGAGACAGGAGATATGCATGTTGAGTGCTGTGTGTGTGAGGCACAGAGAAAAGGCTAGTTTGGCTGGACTGAAGAATATGGGAAAGGGAGTATTCTAAGTTCAAAAGGTAGGATGGGGTCAGCTTATGAAGCAACTTGAAAACTAAACAGCAGTTTATCCTAAAGGCAATAGGTAGTCACAAGTTTACTGAGAAACAGATATGGTTATATGGTTAGAACTGTACTTCAGGAAAAGCATTTGGGAAGCTAAGTGAAAGATGGATTGAAATTCCTAATTCATTGGTCATGACTGGGGAACTGGAATACTCTTTGCTCCTCACTGACACTGCTAGGTTCTCCTTCCACCATCATCACTCAGTTAGCTCTCCTTCTTTAAAGTTCATTCAATATAATATATATTTATTACCCAATCAACATTCTGGTAGCTGACCTTCTAAGGTCATTTAGATACCCTAAGGAAACTCTTCTGTCTTTCTCAAATGTCAATTAAAAAAAAAACCTTAAGGCATTCACCAAAATGTCCCTCTTTTCACCTCCTCCTCACTTTGTATCACCCTTCCACCAACATTTCCTCCTTCACTCCCATTTCAAACGAAGAGGTTGTTTTTCTCCTTGTCAAGGAAAGCCCCTCTACACACAAATGATCTCCTCCCACAGACTGCCTTTCTCTGTCATCTCTACTCTCTGTCTACTGGCTGCTTCCCTACTGTCTATGTACACACCCATGTTTCCCCCATCATCAAGAAAACCCCCCCTTGATTCCTCCATTCACACTATCACCCTATAGTTCTCCTTTTTATGATGAAATTTCATACGAATGCTGTCTCTAATTGGTGCCTCTACTTCTTTTTCTCTGAGTCTTCATAAGTCTCTCCAATCTACATTCTGACCTCATCCTTTAACTGAAACTACTCTCTCTAAAGTTACCAATAATCTCTTACTTGCCTTTTCTCAGGCTTCTTTCTTTTGGACCTTTCTGACATCGTAGATCACCCATTTCTCCTTAATACCCTCTTATCTCTAGGTTTTTATGACATGGCTCTCTCATGGTTCTCCTCCTACCTGTCTGACCAAGTCTTCTTAACCCCTTTTGCTTTAGCTTAATCCAGAACACATCTGCAAACTCTCAAAATTCCCTGAAAACACCGTCTTGGACTCTCGCTCTCTTGCGCTCTCTCTCTCTCTCCTCTCTCTCTCTCTCTCTCTCTCTCTCTCTCTCTGTCTCTGTCTCTCTCTCTGTCTCTGCTTGATGATCTCACCAGCTCCCACAGAGTCAATTATCATCTATGCAGACGATTCTCAGATATATTTATCCAGTCCAGTCTCAAGGCTTACATCTCCAGCTGTCCACTCGACATCTAGATGTCCCTCAGACATCTTAAACTTAACATACACAGTGAGGGAGAGTGAAGGATGAAGAATTGTACCAAAGTTGCAAACCTGGGTGACTAAAAGGAAACTCTTGATAGGAATAGAGAAGTTTGAAGGGAAAGATAATACATATAGCATTAGTCCTATTGAGTTTGAAATGGCACTGGGACATCCAGTTCAAAACATCTAATAGGTAGTTGGAAATACGTGAGAAGGCATCACAAGAGAGAATGGGGCTGAATATGTGTATATGTATGTGTGTGTATTAATGTGAATGTTATACACATAGGTACATATTTATATACATATATGTATACACACATGAGTCACCTCCATAGAGACCATTAAATTAAACCAAAAGGAGCTGATAAGATCATAGAGTGAGAAAATACACAGAGAGAATAGATGACCCAGGACAGAAACTTGGTAAACACCTACAATGAGGGGCCATGATATGGATGATGAACCATCAAACAAGATCAAGAGGGACCAATCCAACAAGTGGTAGGATAGTTAAGAGTGAGCAGGTCATGAAAACTCAGTGGTCAGACAGCATCCAGGAAGAGAGTGTGGTCAACTATGTCAAAGAGACATTGAAGCAGACAGGTCAAGAATGAGGAGGATTGAGAAAAGGCCATCAGATCTGGAAAACAGATCATTGTTAATTTTGGAGAGTTATCTTTTTCAAGATATCTTTTTCTAGGAGTTTGGCTGATATAAGATGGTAGCTGGAGAAAGATGGTAGTGTTAATGAAGTTTTTTTGTTTTATTTTGTTTTTTAAATGGGGGAGATCCAGGCATTTTTGGAGGCAGGAGGTATGGAGCCAGAGGACAAGTAAAAGAGGAGCAGGATGATTTAGGGGGCAGTTAACTGAGAAAAAATGGGAGAAAATGGGATAAAAACTACATGTACAAGGGGTTGGTCTTGAGTAAAACAGTTATCTCTTCATCAGAAATTAGAGCAAAGAAATCAGAGCCTTCTCCTCCCATCTCTACCATGTAAAAGTGCAAAAATGTTTCCTCTACCAGTTCATGGCACTGACCACCAAAGCAAGAACGCTAATTATGCTCAGTGCATTATATTAATAACAATAATATTTATAAAACATTCGAAGGTTTACAAAGCACTTCGCATATACTATCTCACTTACCAAAGCAAATCACAGATGATCACTTACCCACAAAAGAGCAAGAATCCCTTCTAACAAATGATAATGACTGGCAATTAGCCAGACATATGGAAAAGAAAGACTCAGGTATGACTGAGAGGATGGTTATGCATACCATTAGCAGAAACAGGAAAGGCAGTAAGAGGGGATTCGAGAGACAAGAAAAGTTTGGTTTTGGAAATATTAAGTTTAGGGCGCACTTCAGACTTATTGGGTTAAAAAGAATTAATAAGAAATAAGAATTAATAAAAATCTATGTTCTTGAAATACAAGGAGATCAATGGAAATCTCTTCAATCTTCGTCTTTTGTTCTAACCAGCTAATCTAAATGTTTGAATCTTTTTTTCTCATTCCAGTGCCTAACTGAAATCCAAAAGAGTCAGAAGAGACCTTAGAGTTGATCAGTGCATGAACCCAGGGCTAAATAAAGTGTCTGATATATAGTAGGTGCTTAATAAATGTTAATTGATTGATTAATCCCATCAAGCTGCCTTTCCTTAAGCATTCCTTCAGGTTCAAAGGTTCAAAATGAACTTGATTGAGATTTCCCTACACTTAAAAGGATAATAAGTTCTTTTGCTTGGCTGTGTAGTGTACTCAAACAAAAATAAACATGCCAAAAAGTGGGTGGGTGTAATTTGTACTCTAAGCAGCGGTGGCCATTTTTCTCTTTTCATGTTCAAGTCTGTATTTGCTATAGGAAGAAAAAGAAAAGAAGGGATAGAATAAAACACTGTGTGAGTTCTGCTGGAGAAACACTGAGGAGAAGCACATCACAGCACTTTGATTCGGGCTTGGCTCTCCTGATTGTCGGGGGCTTGGCTCTCCTGATTGTCGCTGTTATTAAAAAGCTGTGAACTGGAAACGTATTTTGGTTCTCCACATGCAAAGGAGCAAACCAACCGTTCTCATTCCCTTCTATCATTCCAACAACGACACAGCAGTGGGACTAGAGAGTTCTGGGAACCAACTCAAAGCTATGTGGGCTATTTGGGCATGCAAAGACTTTTATTCACAGAGAAGCTAAAGCAGGTGGCTTCCTTTTTTTTTTAAATACTGGAACTATTTGGAGAAATCTGGGTGAGAAAGAATGAATGTATTAAGTCCCTTTCACTACTGCCCACAATAAACAGAAGAAACTTACCTTTGGGTTTCCTCTTTTTGCTTTTCTAATTCTATTGTTTTCCTCTCTTTTTCTTTCTGTTTCAACCTTTCCGCCTCTAAATTCTTTTGTTTTTGGAGCTGTTGCTTGTTATGTATTTCTCTTAGTTCCTAAAAGTGACCAAAAAAAACAAACCAGCATTTATACAAGGTAAGAGTCATTTATAACTGTTTTGTTAGCATGCAGGGTTTCCTACAGGGGAAGGCTATAATTCTTATGGTCTATTCTTAGAGTCATCCATTCTCAACAAGGCTCATTGCAGCAAGGTGATCTTTTTTATTCAGCTAGGGTGGTGCCCATAGGTACAGCACACTCAAAGCTATGTGGGCTTTGAGTCAGGGAGTCAGGGAGACCTGAATTCAAAAGCAGCTCAAGACACTAACTGTGAGACCCTGAGCAACTCACTTAACATCTGTCTGTCTCGGTTCCCTAACCTTTAAAGTGGGAATCTTAATAGCACCTACCTCTCAGTGATGTGAGCATCAAATGTGCTAATATTTGTAAAGTACTTACTAAGATCCTAGGAACAGAATTGGTACTTACGCTTATTTCCTTCTCAATTAGTTCTCTCTCATTCCCCAGAGATACTTACTACTAACCTCCTCTTCTCTCCTCAAGCATTCCACTGATCTCCCTATCCTAGTTTTCTCAGCTGAAAAAATTGCTTAAACGAGAAAATTAAGACCACTATTTAGTTACTGTGATACTCAGAAAACTAAGACCACTCTCCATGAACTCCCTCTTACCCCTTCTCTTCATCTCCAAACCCCTTCTTTCGTCCTCTTCCCCAATCTCATACACTAAGTGGCCCTGCTTGCCAAGGACAACTTAGCTAAATGTTCGTTTGATCTCATAGCTTCCTGTCTTCTAGGAAATGGCAACCTCAATCACTCCCCCCCAAATCTTCAACCTCTCCCTTGCTACTGATTCCTTCTATATTGCCTTCAAACATACCCAAGTCTCCTCCATCCTTAAAAAACCTTCTGCAGACCCTACCATCTCGTCCAGCTACTGTTCTTTCTCAACCAAACTCCTAGGGAAAAAATTGTCTATATTTTTGTTGCCTCCACTTCTTTCTTCTCAGTCTCTTAATTCTCTCCAGTGTAACTTTCAAATGAAACTGCTCTCTCTAAAATTACCAATTAGCTCTTAATTGTCAATTTGATGGTCTTTTCTCAGTCCTCATTCTTCTTAATCTGTATTTGACACTGTTAACCATTCCCTCCCCCTGAATACTCTAGCCCAGCTGGTGGTTCAGTGGATTAGAACCACACTGGGGCCTTGGAGTCAGGAAGACCCAAGTTGAAATCTGGCCTCAAATACTTTCTAACTACGTGTCCTGTCCAACTCACATAACCTTTTCTTTGCCTCAGTTTCCTCAACCGTAAAATGAGGATAAGAATAGCACCTACCTCTCAGGTCTATCATGAAGATCAAATGAGACACCTGTGATAAAAAAGTGCTTAGCACAGTGCCTGGTAAGTGTGATACAAATGCCTCTTTTCTTACTTCCTAGTCTCTAGATTTTCATGACATAACTTTCTCCTGCTTCTCCTAGTACCCAAACTACCCCTTCTCATTGTACTTTGCTGGACCATCATCTGTATCATATTCCCCAACAGATGATGTTTCTCAAAGCTCTGTACTTGGCCCTCTTCTCTTCTTTCTCCTAATACTCTCTCATCTGGTGGCCCCATGGATTTATTTATCATCTCTGTGAAGATGTCTTCCAGATGTATATATATCCAGCCCCAACCTCCTCTGAGCTTCAGCCCTGCATCACCAATTGCTCATTTCATACTGGATGTTCCAGGGGCATCTCAGACTCAATAAGGCCTAAACAGAATTCATCCTTCCCCTCAAATCTGCTCCTCTTCAAAACTTCCTTATTTCTGTCAGGAACCACCATCCTTGAATCTCTCATGTTTGTAAGCTTGACATTATCTTCAACTTCTCATTACTTTAGTGCACGTATTCAATTGGTTGTCAAATCCTGCCCTTTCTACCTTCACAACACCTCTTGCATTTGTCCCCTTCTTATTCACATAGCCACCACTCAAATAACTTTTTAATTGGCCTCATGGTCTCTTTCCACTTCAGTCCATCCTCCCGACCCTCCATAGCTACCAGTGATTTTTTAAAAAGTGCATATCTGATCATTCTATTCCCCTATTCAATAAACTCCAATGGCTTCCTATTTCCTCTAGACTCAAATATAAATTCCTCTCTTTTTAAAATCTCTCTTCACAACTTGGCCCCAACCTATCTTTCTAGCTGCATTATACATCACTCCTCTTTCCATAAACCTGACAAAATGACCTCTCAGTTCCTCCATTTGCCACTTCTGCACCTTGGCATTGACCATTCCAATGCACTCTCTCTTTATCTCTGATCCACAGAATCCTTCTCTTCCTTCAAGATGCAGTTGAAGTAATTGCTAGTGCCCTCCCTCCAAAACTACTTTTATTTGTTCGTATTTATTCCCTTTACATTTATTTGGTATATACTTATATGTGTACTTGTTGTCTCTCCTGTTACAATGTAAGTTCTCTTTGAGGAGAGAGTTTCCATTTTTGTATCTGTAGCCCCCTCACCTAGCACGATGCCAGACACCTAAAGGGTTCTTAAGAAATATTCACTGATTGGTTGATTACAGGAGAACAAATCAGGCTTGAAAAGCAATTAACCTTGAAAACTATGAGCTTTTAGTGCATTTTAACACATTTTACTTTCAAAGAGTTATTCAACCCCTAACATTATTTGCTGCTATTTGCTGGAAGAAACTAATTCCATAAAAGCATTAATAGAAGGTATGTCAATTGAACAACTTAAAGGTAGGACAAGTTAAATAATTTCTGTATATAAAAAAGGAAGACCTCACCATTTCTTTTGAAGAAACAAACCAATGGCCCTGAAAATACCACATAAGTCCCTTCAGAAACCATTTCCATCATTCATCCTTTTTATCCTGCTAAATGAATCTTTTCTTAACTGCATTGGCTTCTCTTTTCTTCTCAAAATCCTCCCTGCTGTATTTTTAGAATAACCTCCTATCCTACTTTTTATAAATATATGTTCAGTTTTCTTCAAAACTTTTCCTCAAAACTCTTCCTAACTAAAGAGAAGGTGTGTGTTGTTATCAACAACTCAAGACAAAACCAACTCCAGCTTCAAAAATGGAAAAGAAAAATCTATATTTTGATGATCAATACTTAATATCTATTTACTAGCCTTAAGAGCTTGAGTAGTAATTTTCTTGACAGGCTCCTGAAAATTAAACGTTTCCCAAGTCATTCAATTCAGGTGCTCAAAATGTAAATACGAATCAAGTCTCTGATTTAATCTATTTCAAACGCCTTAGTTTTACCAATGGAAAGAAACACTACAAGTAATAATAACAAAAACAAATAATAAGATAAAAATTTATTTGCTTTCCTCACAATAACCCTATGAGGTAGGAAGTTTAGGTGTTATCACCCCCATTTTACATTTCATGAAATAGAGGCTGTGATCTGAGGATAAGTAACTTGGTCACAGTCACACAGATAGTAAGTGGAAGAGTCAAGTCTCCTAACTCCATATTCTGTGCTCTTTGTACTCCTCTACTCTGCTTCTTTACCTGGATTATTTACAAAGCAGATGAAAGCCCTCAACACTACAAAACAAGCTACAAATATTTATTCCTAGGTTAACCTTTTAGAATATCTAACCAGGCAGAATAAGTGGCCATCGAGATAGTGAAATTTATGAAGACTACAAAGTCTGAAATTTCCCCCAACATTTTACCCTTACTGTCCAGGCCATGGCTCACACTCTTCCTTCATGTCTGGAAACTCCTATAACTACATGGATCCTCTTTTGGGTTAGATAACAAAAGGCCGGGGGACTTTCTCCAGGAGGCTAATGTTAATCGGGATGGGACTAGGGGAATTTTCTGTCCTTTTTCTTATGTCAGTATCTTGATAGATCTGTGATTTTGTCATTGTGGGCCTTACTTCCAGTAGGATAGATAGCAACCCACTCATTCCTTCTTAGCCTCTTTGGCCCTTGTTTCTGTCCTTCCAAAAACTCATGTACAGGGGATTCATCCACTACGTTAGAAGCCTTCCTCTAGTTCTTTGTGAGGATACCAGTGGCACCAGCTGATCTCCAGTGATTTCTTACCATAAAATTATTTTTTGTTTTAATTTTATTCTTTTTTTTAGCCATAATTTTCATTTCCAAATAACTCCCTCCCACCTGACCTACACAGAAAGTCACCTTTTTGTTCAAGAAAACTAGGGGGGGGACGGGGACAGGACGAAGACATCAGCAAAAATGTCCAAAATATTATCTGAGTCTGTATCTGAGTCTGTATATTCAGTCTTCTACAGTGTAGATTCTACACCTATACATCACCCTACCACCTACAAAGAAGGGAGGTGGGTATATTTTCTCATCTCTTCTTCAAAATCACACCTGGTAATTATTGCATGTGTCTTCCATTTCATTTTGGGGGTTCTACCTATTTACATTTTTATAGCAATCAAGCATATTGTTTTCTGATTTTTGGCTACTTCATTTATATCACATTAGTTCATATAAGTCCTCCCATGCTTCTATAAATTCTTCATACTGACCATTTCCTATGGCACAGTAGTATGCAAGGACATTCATGTCTCACAATTTATTTAGTCATTCTCCAAATGATGGGCAGAAGAATCTACTTCTTTCCCAGTTTGTCACTACCACAAAGAATGCTATGAATATTTTGGTGTATAGGGGGCCTTACTCTCTGTCTTTGATCTCCTAGCAACATTTCCCTCACTCTTGCTACATGACTGGCCAATCTCACTTTCAACTCATATACCTGTCTGATGGCATCCTTTCTATCAGACGTGTTAAACACATGGTCCTTGGATGGCATGTGGCCGACAACACCCATGAGTGTAGCCCAAACCAGATTAAAATGTAGTTGGGAAATATTTAACAAAACAAAAATCTAATAAAATAGATGATATTAATATGTAGTTTTCTAAGTCAATATGAAGCCCATAGGGATTCTTAATTATAGTTTAATAGCTCTATTTCAATTTGACACCATTGCTTTATGCCATTTCTCCTTTGAAGA